ATTACCAGGTGCTAATTGCTGATATTTCTGATCAATTCATCTTGGGGATGGATCTTCTTAAGAAACTCGGAGCTGTGTTAGACGTGAAAAAGGGCGTGTTAAAGGTCGGCGATGAAGAATTCCCTTTCCATGAAGACAAAGAAGATGTCATCCGCCTGTTAACCACTCATGACGTCATTATACCCGGACTTAGTGAAAAAATTATAATGACCACTTTAGATGGATATGGTCGCCAGGGAAGCCTACGGATAGTCGAAGCACTAAACCAAAAGGAATTTCTAGTGACTAGGGCTCTGGTAAAAGTTCAAAATGGCGTTCCGATTCGAATTATGAATTTGAAAGATAGTCCTGTTAAGCTAAGCAAACGAACTGCTGTTGGACAGTGTGTGCCCATCTCGGCTATTCGCTCTGTGAAATCGGAAAATCTATCTAAAGGAAAGTATCCAAGAGAGCTGATAGATATGGTCATTAAGAACACTCCAGATTTTGACAATAGACAACGACAAAAGGTGAAAAATATGCTTGTGGAATTCCGAGATGTGTTCGCGGTAAACGACCAGGACAAGGGCAAGACAAGCATAGTCACCCATAAAATAAATACTGGCAATTCCCAACCGATTAGACAACAGCCAAGGCGACTCCCCTTGGCTAAACGAGACGAAGCTGAGGAGATTATTAGAGACATGAGAAAACAAGGTGTCATCGAGCCATCGAATAGTCCTTGGTCATCACCGATAGTGCTTGTAAAGAAGAAGGATGGCTCCACAAGATTTTGCGTTGACTACCGTCTATTAAATTCGGTCACCAAGAAAGATAGCTATCCACTGCCAAGAATAGACGACACCTTGGACACTCTATCTGGAGCCCAATGGTTTTCCACACTCGACCTAAAGAGTGGTTATTGGCAAGTGGGGATGGAATCGACAGACCGAGAGAAGACCGCGTTTTCTATAGGCTCTGGACTTTGGCAATTCACAGTAATGCCTTTTGGATTGTGTAATGCCCCCGCGACGTTTGAGAGACTTATGGAAGCAGTTCTAAGGGGACTAACGTGGCAGACATGTCTGGTATATTTGGATGATGTAATTGTCGTAGGAAAAACTTTTGAAGAACACCTAAAGAACCTGAGAGAGGTGTTGGACGATTACGAGAGGCCAATTTAAAACTAAGTCCCAAGAAATGCTTTATGTTCCAAAAAGAAGTTAAATATTTGGGGCACATCGTATCTCGTGATGGTGTTACAGCTGACCCAGAGAAGATTCTAGCGATTCAAGAGTGGCCGATTCCTGAGAACAGGCACGAGATTCGAAGTTTCCTCGGTTTGTGCACCTATTATAGACGATTCGTGAAAGGATTTGCCAACATTGCCAAACCATTAATAAAGTTGACAGAAGAAGGCAATGAGTACGAATGGAGTGAAGACTGTCAAAGAGCTTTCGAACATCTCCGGCAAGCTCTTACTAGCGCACCTATCCTTGGCTACCCCAGAAATGAAGGAAAGTTTGTGCTAGATACCGATGCCAGTAACACCGCCATTGGAGCTGTTCTCTCTCAATTGCAAGACGGACAGGAAAGAGTCATTGCCTATTTCAGCAAAGTACTGTCGAAACCCGAGAGGAATTATTGTGTGACTAGGCGAGAGCTCCTGGGTGTGGTAAAGGCATGCGAACATTTCCATAAGTACCTTTACGGCCGCAAGTTCCTGATAAGGACAGATCATGCAGCGCTAAAGTGGCTCTTGCAGTTCCGAAACCCAGAAGGACAGGTGGCAAGATGGTTAGAACGTCTTCAGGAATATGACTACGACATTGAACACAGGGCTGGAAAAGTTCACAATAATGCAGACGCTTTGTCAAGAAGACCGTGCAAGGACAACTGCACACATTGTTCTAAAATAGAAGACAAGATTGGCCATCTGCGACGAACAACTGTAGAGAGTGAGGAGTGGAAGCCAAGCGAAATCAAAACGGCCCAAGAAAACGACCCAAGTATAAAAACTGTTCCTGAATTGGATGCGCCACGGACAAAGACCAGACTGGCAAGACATTAGTGCCACAAGTCCTGAAGTAAAGAGTTATTGGGGTGGCCAATGGAATAGCCTGACTCTGAAAGACAACCTGTTGTATAGGACCCTTGAAAGTGAAGATGGCACCGAATCGACGCTGCAATTAGTAGTACCTAGAAACAAAGTGTCGGAAGTATTGCGAAAATTGCATGACGGCGCTTCCGGAGGACACTTTGGTATTACGAAAACGTTGCAAAGGGTACGTGAGCGATTCTATTGGGTCAACCGTAAAGAAGATGTCCGGCGATGGTGTCAAAAATGTGAGTTATGTGCTACTGGAAACGGACCAGTTTCCAAGAAGAAGGCACCCATGAGGCAGTATAACGTTGGTAGTCCGATGGAACGAGTTGCTATCGATATCGCAGGACCGTTTCCTGAGACAGATGGCGGAAATAAATATATCCTAGTCGCTATGGATTAATTCACAAAGTGGACTGAAGCTTACGCCATTCCAAACCAAGAGGCAGCAACAGTTGCAGAAGTGTTGGTAAAGGAGTTCTTTACACGTTTTGGTGTTCCTATAGAAATCCATTCAGACCAAGGAAGGAACTTTGAATCGGCTTTGTTCCAAGATGTTTGTCGATTGGTAGGAGCCAATAAAACCAGAACAACACCTTTGCATCCTCAGTCAGATGGAATGGTGGAGAGAATGAATCGAACGATGGGTAAATATCTTTCAAAAGTCGTGGCAGAACATCAGAAAAATTGGGACCAGTACCTCCACCTGTTCCTTATGGCATATCGATCAGCCGTCAACGAGACCACGGGTCAGACTCCTGCCTGCCTTATGTTGGGTCGTGAACTACGCCTTCCATGTGATCTCGAGTTTGGGCGTAAACCCCATGAAGAATATGTCGCAGGTGAAAATTATGTTGACCAACTAAAGGCGAAGATGAACGATATTCACGACTTGGCTAGAAGTCATATTCAGATTGCCAGCGATCGCATGAAAAATCAATACAACCTCCGCTCGGCCAATGAAACTTTTGAAGCTGGAGATCTGGTATGGCTGCACAATCCACAGAGACGAAGGGGTCTTTCTCCCAAGCTACAAAGACAATGGGAAGGTCCGTATGAGGTGATCAAGAAAATAAATGACGTGATATATCGTATCAGAATGAACCACCGGAAACCGAAAGTTGTCCACATTAATCGACTCGCACGATATGCCGGATCCAACAACAACGAAGAAGTTAGAGGTATTCGAGAAGAGGAACGCAGCTTTGGGATCGAGCCAAACTTTAACGATTTTATGTCAAATTACGCCCAGCGGAAGAAAGCTCGATTTGGCGTTACTCAGGAAATTTGTCAAAATATTTTTGAGCTTCCGGTTAACGTTTCCATCGCCCATTGTGTCGCCGAAGACCTTCGCATGAGTAGAGGTATAGCTTCCGTATTCCGGAAAAGATTTGGAAGAATAGACGAGTTGTTAAAGCAAAGACCACGAGTGGGTAAAGTACTGCGCTTGGAAGATAGTCAACGCTCTTTGTTCTACTTGGTTTCAAAGAAAACGTCAGAAGGCAAACCCACCTATGAAAACCTCTGGTCTGCTTTAAAAAACTTAAAGAAACTCATGGCATACTATGACATAAATAGCTTGGCGATCCCGAAGATTGGATGTGGTTTAGATGGGTTGGACTGGAAGATAGTGCGAACCATGATCGAAGTGATTTTTAGAAACACTAACGTTCGAATTACAGTATGCTGCTTCAACCCACAGGGGACGACCCTCCGCAAAACTGTGGACTGTTACTTTTTCAAGAAAGGTGTTTGTCGAGCAGGCTCTGACTGCAGATTCCGACACGAGGCATTAAAAAGTAATACTAACGCAGTTTCTGAACGAGACGTCCAGAATTAAGAAGGGGGCAGTGTAACGGAAATGCTCCAGATATGACGTCGCCTTTGGCGCTCTGGAATTTTCTACGCGCGCGATAGTAGGAACATTCGAGAATGTACTGGACTTACATTGCTTGCGTGTATAAATGGTTGCGGACCGAACATCGCGGCAGTCTACTACCGAACGAGTACGTAAACATCGAGCGCGGAAATCTGATAAATTGCGAAGTGTGAGTGATATAAATAATCGATATAAATTGTACGGATTTTATAGTGTTTTAGTTCTGTTTAATAAATATTGATATAAATCGAACCCGAATATATAAATAACGTTACATTAATGTTAAATTTACAAGTTGCTTACTTTTGCACAGATAATATACGTAAATTTGGGCTAACATATTTCATTTAATTAACTTAAATTTGGTTAAATTTACACCTGAATATATAATTTAAAATGTTTTCGCATTGCATCCACCTTTAATTTTAAATTCGTTATAGGTGAATTTAAGCATCTATTTAAAGTTTACTTTGAGGATGTACGTATTGATCCTTTATCCCAAACAGTAGTCACATCTATGGTTACTTATGGTGTTTTTCTACAATATTATGTAGTGAAATAGGCCAAAAATGGCTATTTTATATATTTTTATGTAGAATCCAGTGTCGTAGTCAAAAATATTGTTTGGATCACCGTTCCTGAGATTTGACCCAATGTTGTTATTTTTTAATTTAACACTGTGTATATTTTAACGTCAATGTTGTGCATTTTTTTCTGATTACATGGGTGTACATAACATATACTTTTTTTTATATGATTGTATATTGCAATATATCATATTTTTCAAAATGTTAAAATGACATGCGTCTACCGTCAGCGATTTTTATTGATTGGTTTTAGTTACAAGGGATGCAATAAACAAAACAAAATCTCTATGAATCCATGACCTTCTATTTAAAAACAGGAAAAACTAAGGTTTTGTTTTTGGTTCACGGCTAAAATTTAAAAAAAAAGTATAGGTCGTGATACATCTGTGTACTAAAAAAAAGAATGCAAAAAAATTATGGTAAGATATACAGGGCGTTGCAATAAAAGAATGCCAACTTTTGGTGAAATTTCAGAAAAGGTGGTACAAATTTTCTCTGAGTACGCCACTGGATTCTACCTAAAACTAGTCAATATTTTCGTTTTCACCCTGTATCTCATAAACGCAACTAGATTGAGCCTGTCTGTGGTTTTAAAAGTTTTACAAAAAATTATCAAAGTCCTCGTGTGAGATCGAAGCGCATTTTTGTGTGGTAGATCAGTGTTTTATTAGCCATTTTATTTCCTTTGTCGATACCCAATTCAGATGCCCCGTTCACCCGCAATTCGAGTTTGAAGTATTGACTCCACCATCAGTAAGAATCTCGTCTGGGGTTACCATACTCCCTTTTTTCGGTACCCACCTGCGACGTCCCCTTCACCTGCAATTAGGGTTTGATGTTTAGACTCCGCCATTAAGATCTTATCGGGGGTTACCACATTCTCTTTGTCGGTACACACTTCCGACGCGACGTCCCGTTCACTCGCAAATCGCATTTTTGTGGATTTCGCTTAAAACCCGGCACAAAATAGTACTCAATTTTTGGGTACTTCTTGAACTTCTATTGGCACTGAAACTGAAAAATCTCCAAGTTATTAGAACACCCTCGAGGATGGCGTCCAGATGTCGCCGACCTCACATTTTGTAGCCCCGTCCCTAAAGTTATTAATTACACCGCCCCGATATGTGTATGTACACTCCTTGTTTTTTTAGAAGCGTTCTTCTACGGGTTCGCTTTTACTGCCAGCCAGCCAACCAGCCAAAGTGAGATTAAAAGTTACCTTTTTATAAATAAATTTGCAAAAATGCGCTAAAGTGGCACATAGTAGCGAAAACCGCAAAGTCTCTGTCATTAAAAACAGCTGGGATTACACTGCTGTCTCAACTAAAATAAAGTACTCGGTACATCAAAATGAACCGTAAATACATTCACGTTCGTGGAAAATTCTAAACCACAGTACCTATCGTGACCCCTATTTATTTCCCTTCGGTGTTCGGTCCGAACACGTTGACAAACAAGTATAAATTGTGCACAACTCTTGTGCAGATAAAGCGCATTTTTTTAACCGAAATTGATTTGTTTTGTCATCACCCATGGATATATATCTTACAGACCTCTCAATCGCTCTTTGTGAGTACTCTCTTCCGACAATCCGTATAGTTTGTACAAAAATTTATTTCGTTCCATTAGAATACCATCAAAGGTACAACATGTGTTTACCCCCTCCCCCCCCCCTTTCCTAAAGTTTAACTTAGCACCACTAAAGGCATGTTTTTTCTATATATTTACCGCCCTCAACTAATATAAGTGACTTTGAATTATTCTTTGAATTGTTTGGTCAAATGGTTTCTCATTTTGGTTTAGTGTTAATAGTAGGCGATTTTAATACACCCAACTTTAACTATCATAATGCCACTGATAGAAGAACTACTACCGTGAACTTATTTTCTGATATAACTAATTTATGGCAATATAATAATATAGTGAACTCTAAACTGAGACTTCTGGACTTAGTGTTCTCCAACATAAACTGTTCCGTTTTTCATGATGATGTACCTGCTGTTTTAGAAGATGTGTACCATCCTGCTTTAGGCATCGTACTCAGCTATAAAATGTCGAAAATCAATAAATTTAGCGTCAATAACGTCAACAAACAATATAACTTTAAGACAGCCGATTACCCTAATCTCTACAATTCTATTCTACACACGGACTGGTCGCCTCTTAATTTAATTACAAATATGAATACCGCATGTAATGAATTTTATTCTATATTGTATCGCAGTTTTGATAGGTTTGTACCTGTATGTAAACGTAAATCTAATAAGTACCCTTCTTGGTACACACGTGATATCATATGCTCAATTAGGAAAAAATCTACTGCACATCGCAATTATCATAAATATAATGATAGTATTTACTTGCATGAGTTCAAAGCTTTGCGTAAACTACTTAAATCGCAGCTGACTTTAGCATATAAAAGTCATTTATATAAACTACAAATGTCTGTGAGAACTAATCCTAAAGAATTTTGGAAATTCATAAATTCAAAGAAAGGTTCTTCACGTATTCCTGGCATAGTTAACTATAATAATAAGTGCTATTCTAGTCCGGACTCAGTTGTTAATGCTTTTAAGAGCTATTTCAGTAGCGTATATCGTGTTCCGTCAAGTTATTCTTCTTCGAATTTTAATTTAAGCAGTTATCAGCAAAACATATGTATTGATACAATTACTGTTGATGATGTTTTACTGGCCATTCGTAAACTCAAAAATAAAACTTCCATAGGGCCCGATTTAGTACCATCCTTTATAGTTAAGGACTGCGCTCAGGTGCTAGCTCCTCCGCTAGCGTTTTTATTTAATCTTGCTTTACGTTCCCAAAACTTTCCTAACCTTTGGAAGATTGCAAATATATGTCCTATATTAAAAAGTGGTGATCCTGCGGACATTCGTAACTATCGTCCCATCAGCATTATAAATAACTTTGCTAAAATTTTTGAAATCATCCTCTACAGTCGTATATATCCTCACGTTAACAGACTAATATCCACTGATCAACATGGATTTATGGCGCAACGTTCTACAATAACCAATCTTGCCTGCTTTTCAGATTTTGTAACCAAAAAACTTGACCACAGAGGAGGTCAAGTTGACGTTATCTATACCGATTTCAGCAAAGCATTTGACGTTATTTCGCATGACATTATTGTTATGAAGCTCAGTAGCTATGGATTTCATCATTCGCTGGTTAATTTTTTAAAAACCTACCTTAGAGACAGAGTCCAACGTGTAGTGTATAATAATCATGTGTCAGGCGTGATTACTGTCACATCGGGTGTCCCGCAAGGTTCCACCCTGGGGCCCCTATTATTTTTACTATTTATTAATGACCTTACAGATACAATTACTTGCAACAAGCTCCTCTTTGCAGACGATTTAAAAATTTTTTGTTCAATTAATTCAGTGCAAGATTGCTTATTCCTCCAACAGCAACTTAATTTAGTTCTTCACTGGTGTTGTACTAATGAGTTGCCTCTGAATGTATCTAAATGTAAAGTGGTCTCGTATACAAAAAGAAATCAACCTATCGAGTTTAGTTATCTCCTTGACTCAATTAAGCTAGATCGCACAGATCTTGTCAAAGATCTAGGTATTTATTTTGACCATAAACTTACTTTTACGCATCATTATACCACTTTGTGTCGTTCTGCGATGCGTACCCTTGGATTCATTGTGCGCAATACAAGGTCTTTCACAGAATTGGATTCGCTGAAAACATTATACTTTGCACTTGTGCGTAGCAAACTCGAATTATACTGCTGTGTGATTTGGTTTCCTCGCCACAAAGTGCACATCAACATGATCCAATCTATCCAAAGACGGTTCTTAAAAATGCTGTATTTTACGGAGGAACGAGTTTATCCTGTTCGCGGGTTCAACCATGACCTCTTGCTATCTAAGTACAATTTTAGCTCCCTCGAAAGCAGGAGGAAAGTTGCCTGCCTTACTTTTCTGCATAACATTATTCACAATAAATTGGATGCACCTTATTTGTTGTCATCCATTAATTTTCATATTCCTTCATACAATACTCGTTTCAATGTCTCATTCTCTAGAACTACTCACCTCGCACAAATATTTTATACAAATCTCCTATTGTAAACGCATGTAAATTATTTGATTCAATTTGCCCGAATATTGACTTATTTCATTCCACATTACTCGAAATGGTTAGTTATATTACGTATTAGTTAATAATTTTTGTTTACCCCTTAGATTGCATTTCCTGTTTTGGTATATCTGTTTATTTAATTATTTTCTTTTATTGTTATTCACGGATTTTTGCGTACTACTATGTTACACACTGTATAAGGTTAGAATTTCGTTTCATTTTCTTTATATTATTTTGTACTCTATACATATTAATCTGTTGTTGTCCTGTAATTGGAAAATGTATTTTTTTTCTGTTGGACATTAAATATTATTATTATTATTATTATGCGTATGCAAAATCTGAGATCAATTGGTTATCGTGTGTAAAAGTTATGCACGTTTCACTTTCAACTGAAAAAAATTCCAGACCTCTAGGACCATTCTCCTAGAAGTAGTTCAAAACGGTAGAAGTGGGTCCGGACGGACGGACGGACAAAACGCAAACAATAGCACATTTTTTTTAATTCTTAAAAAAATGCGCTACCGAGTACATATTATGCCAAAGATTAACTACTGGAAAATATAATTGCACATTATCGATGATTGTGTACTAAAATAATAATTAATAATTTCTGTAAAAAATGTAGATAGTTTATTAACGGTTATTGTTACGACTTAGGAGAGATTACCCAAAGTGTAATTAAAAATAATATATGACTGACCCTCTATAAGGAAATTCATAAAAATAGTTAATACATACCTAGCCGTGGTACATTTAGCGGTAGGTAAATTGCTAAAGTAAAACTGGTAATTGTTTATTAACGTCGACACTAAATAACAATGTTTTACCATTTTAATGGGAATTCAGATTACACGAAGGTAGGTAGCTATGGGTGCAGTAATTTTGCATCCTCGTTACGACAAGGAAACTTTATGCTTTTATTTGTTACGTTACAAAATAATAAGAAAGAAATCCTGAAAAATTAGTGAAGTTAGACTATCACCCGATGACGATGTTCTTGATACCTGTACAAAATCGTAATTGCTAATCTGTCAACATTATGGTACCTATAGGTACATAGTACTTGAATAAGTTTGATAATTAATTACTAGGTACACGTAGAGGCATGTCCCAAAAGTAATAATCATTGGAATAATAGCTCTTTTCATGTAGGCTGGTTAGAAGTCAGTATAATTAAGAACAGGATGGTAATTGTTCATCGTCACTTTATTTCTGGTAGACGTTGAACGTTTATTTATACACCATAAAACCGATGTGGATTGTTGTCACTTCACTTGTCTTTCAGTTACACTTTACCAGTCATAAACCAGTACAGAAGTAGGTACCACATATACATAAATTTTTAAATTTTACACCTCTTTACCGTTAAATATACACAAAACGATCAGTTCGACTTCAACAATCAATAAATGTAATTGCATGGAATTTCTTGTGTTTGATTTGTTATGTTTACAAAAGGAATCCGGCCTACAAAGAACTCCAAAGATGCGAAAGGAGTTATACTCTTTTCTATCTACCTTATGTACATAGATTATGTAGGTATATTAGATCTTATCCTGTTCACAGTTTTAGAATATCAATGGCGCATTTGGAAATACATGTAACAATTGATACTAACATTTCAATTTAATTGATGTGTATCAAATGACTAGAGACATACGAACGAAAAATATCCTGAATAACATAACACATCGAGTAAAGCGACAGTTAGACGCCTATAGAATATCAACGTACCAGAAATACATTGGAGAGCTGGGACCAGGCATCCAGGACTTATGGAAAGCAACTCGAAGAATTCTAAAGGAAACCCAAGAAATCCCAACTCTAAAAGATGATACAAACACGCACGCAACCGATGAAGAAAAATGCGAGGCTTTTGCCAATCACTTAGAACGCACATTTGTCCCTGTCATAAACGATTATGTGTGGGCAAATCAAATTAAAAGATATATAGAAACACATGCGACAATTATTAACAAAAACCAAATAAAATTTATTAGTCCAACGGAAATGAAAGCTTTGATCAAAGAATTGAACAACAATAAAGCTCCTGGTGCAGACAAAATTCCAAACATTCTCCTTAAGCAGTTAACGACAAAGGCCATTAGTCACTTGGTAACAATATTAAATAGGTGCTTAACTATAGGGTATTTTCCAAAACCGTGGGAACATGCTCAAATAAAGCTGTTCGCTAAACCTGGAAAAGATAAATCGCTGGTCACAAGTTATAGGCCAATAAGCTTATTGTCTACACTTTCAAAACTATTCGAAAAAGCTTTTCTAACACGACTAGAGGATCAGCTTCGAGAAAAAAACACCATTCCTCCTTGCCAGTTCGGGTTTCGCAAAACCCATTCTACAAGCCATCAACTACAAAGAATATCGGAAAAAATTGAAGAAGGCTTTGAGTACAAAAAGTTCACTGCTGCTTTATTCATAGATATCGCTCAAGCATTTGATCGCGTTTGGATTGATGGATTAAAATATAAATTACTTCATCTACGCTACACAGAGTACATTACATCGGTTATTTCATCATTCCTTGACGATCGAACATTCGCTGTCAAAATACATGAATCCCTTTCATCTCTCAAAATTGTTAGTGCAGGAGTACCGCAAGGCAGCATTTTGGGTCCTACGCTATTTAATATATATATATACGTATGATATACCTAACACAACTGCCGACTTGGCCATGTATGCAGACGATACAGTGTCACTAGCACAACACACAGATGTGCACACTTCTATCCAAAAACTCCAAACCGCTATAAATACAATAGATAAGTGGTTCAAAAAATGGAATATCACGATAAACCATTCTAAATGTGAAGTAAAAATTTTTACGCTGAAACGAAATATGGCTCTTGAGACCACCCTATCATCATAAACTCTAATGAAATAACGTGGTCACCCAAAGACGTATGTGTAAAATACCTAGGAGTACACCTCTATACAAAATTAACGTGGAAATTCCACATACATAAAAAATTAATTGACAGCAATATTCGACTCATGAAATTATACCCGCTTCTAAATCGAAAATCCTCTCTTAAAATTGCGAGCGCGATGCTGTTATATACGTCGCTAATTCGACCACAAATACTTTATGCGTGTCAAGTTTGGGGAAATGCGAGGACTAGTAATGTAAATAAAATTCAACGATTTCAAAACAAGATATTAAGAATTGCCACTAACGCCCCATGGTTTGTGAGAAATCGCGATACTCACTCGGACTTAAATGTCCCAGAAATTCACCCATATATTAACAAGTTAAAAAGTAATCGTAAACGATTTACATAAAACGCATTTCCACTTGCATTCATTTCCCATTTGTAAGATGCAACTTTTGTTAAAATCGTAAAAATCCGGCCACAAATATGAAAGATAGCGTTGCACATGGGCAATCCATTGTTGACGTGCTACTTCAATTTCAGTTTATGAGAAGAATTTCATTTCAATGCTTTTATAAATAAGAAAGTTGGAACTGCGCATGCGCAAACCTAAATTTTAAAACTAATTTACTATAACTAACTAATAAACTAAGATTTTCCTTTGTTCCAAGCGCCTATGTATCAAATTTCGTTTAAATTCTTCCATAAATAAAAAAGTTGGCACTGCGCATGCGCAAAACCAAATTTTGAAATTGGCGTTTGTTTTTCCTTTATCCCAAGTGCCTATGTATCAAATTTCGTTTAAATTCTTCCATAAATAAAAAAGTTGGCACTGAGCATGCGCAAAACCAAATTTTGAAATTGGCGTTTGATTTTCCTTTATCCCAAGTGCCTATGTATCAAATTTCGTTTAAATTCTTCCATAAATAAAAAAGGTGGCACTGCGCATGCGCAAAACCAAATTTTGAAATTGGCGTTTGATTTTCCTTTATCCCAAGTGCCTATGTATCAAATTTCGCTTAAATTCTTCCATAAATAAAAAAAGTTGGCACTGCGCATGCGCAAAACCAAATTTTGAAATTGGCGTTTGATTTTCCTTTATTCCAAGTGGCTATGTATCAAATTTCATTTAAATACTTTTATAATTAAAAAAGTTTGCAATTCGGTTTATAAATGGTCGAGATGCGGAAAGGGCACTGTGAATTTTGAATCGATTCGACTCAACTTTTGGCATTGCGTATTATATGGCTAAAGCTATGCCCATATTGAATTTCATGCAATTCAGTTCATTACTAACGGAGATGTAAAAGCGATCGAACATTTCTAAACAAAGTTATCGTTCACACGGACAGATAGATGGACAGACAGACAAAGGAACAGACGAACAGACCAACAGGCAGACGACAGATAGCAATGCAAAATTATAAACGATCTCTAGGATCGTTAATAAACGGCAAAAGTGTAAAATTATGGAACATGTAAAAAACGGTTTTTTTGTTTTTTTTTACAATAACTTTTTTTGTAAGCGGTACAGAAAAAATTCCTTCCTTGGTACAAGACTCGACACCATAACGAACCAAGTAGCGAAAAAAGTAGAACAATAGCTCTTAAGATAAAGAACTAGTAGCGTCGCAAAACGAGCGGACGGACGGACGGACGGACGGACGGACAAAGTGGCCACAATAGCGCATTTTTTTTAATTTTTGTGGAAATGCGCTAAAAAGGTTACCAAGAAGTTTCATAGCAACCTCACTTTGTGTCCTGGTGCCACCTATTACTCTCTCGGAAAGAAAAATATTCACAAAAGACTTAAAAGAAAGCTACCGCAGGACCTGTTAAGTGAAAGTGATTGACATAATGTATTAATACAGTGATTTTATTGCAATTGTATTGTAATTGTATCCCTATTTACTCTAGAGGTCATATTGAACCTAGTCGATATTTTGTAAGTGTGATAAGTTAATGTTTATCACTGCCATGTATAACAGCTGTAGTTGTTGATCTGGTATACAGAAATATTAAAAAATAAAAATAAAAAAAAAATCAATTACGAGGACGCTTTCTAGATTTTTAGCGCATTTTTAACGAAAATTTTCTACATTTCGATTCTGGATTCTGGAGAGCCTAGACAAACTTTAAATACGTTTTCAAAGTATTAATGGACCTTTAAAATGTAATGTGCCGAAACCCTTTACCTTTACACCCTTGACACCCCATCCGTTTTGGACCAAATCGGCAACATTTAAGAACATCGACTGCCGTAACGGGTGGCCGCTTTGCAATTACTTTAAGAATTATTTTTTCGAATTGGTATTTGTTCAACATTAACCTCTTCATAGTAAAAAAATGTGGGGAAATAAGAGCGATAAAGGGGCGCATTTCAAGTAAACCGTAGGGTGTTTTTAAAACCCTAGCTCAAGTGCTGTGCTGTGCTGAGGTATGAGGGCTTTCGAGCGTATGGATATTCTATGTATAAAAAACAGAGAACTCGCCGACTTGATGAGTGTGCCGTTTCGGTTTTTCTAGTGGGCGAAATAAAACTATCCACCGCAACAAAAGAGCCGGCATTCTTAGCTGGACTTCGAGAACAAGAATGTACAATTTTGATGCAAGGAAATTAATTCGCGTAATAGAGAGTGGAGCAGAGACAAGCATCAAATGAAGAAAGAAAGCAGAAGAATACTGGAGGTGGAGGAAGAATCAGACATAAGCACAAGTAGCCAAGAGGGGACGACAGGAAGTAACACAGGGAGAGGACAACAATAAAAAGGGGAGGAACACGGGGGAAAACAGGGAAGGGAACGATACCAAAGGATAGGAACATCGGAAGCCAATGAAAGCCCGGAGAAGAAGCTATCACTAGAAAGCAGAGTTCCCTCTAAGGCAGATATACCAGTGGCGAAGCTGTGGCCATACCCGTTCGGGTCGGATAACCCCCAGTTAGCCCCCCCCCCCCTCCACAAACTCCACCACATTGTTTGGCATATGTCGCGGCCCAGCACGATGGCAACAAAGTTGTGGTGAAACG